TTGGTAGCCCAGGCTGGCCTCGAACTCACAGAGATCTGCCTGCCTCTGCCTCCCGAGTGCTGGGATTAAAGGCATGCGCCACCACCGCCCGGTTGGAAGGCAGTCTTTTAAGAAAGAAGACAAGGAAACAATGCCTTAACAGATATCACCATTTGAATCCTAGCACCATGAGAGGCTGCCAATCCTTTTATTTCATACTACTCATATTAAAATAGGAATGCACATTGAAGAGGTCATAAGTATATTGCCAACCCCCTAATAAGCTTATAGCCCATGGTAAATGAGTCTTTATGCATATATTGTTGTGACGACTACTAAATTTAGTGAGGGGGCTGATAGAGTCAAAAGTAAAGGGGCACTTGTGGTGGAGAAACCTTAATTCTTACATCACATGTCTGTAAGGAACAGGAAGTCGAATTGCATGATTACAATGTGGAAACCTTTTTATTTGTTATTCTTCCTTTACTGGTATATCATATGTCACTCTGTATACAAGACATATGTGCATAGGAATAAGGAAAGATGTAACATACTTCTCTCTCAGAACAATTAGAAGATATGTAGGACTGCACATGTTAAGTATACTTGTTGAATTTGATTCAGGGATATAAGTTTTCTAGGTTCATTGTTAATACATGAGCAAACTCACAGTGCAGAAACACTTTATGAGTACTAGGACTGTATAAATACTTCTCTTTGTCCTATTTCACTTAGCAAATGTAGTTTGACTCACAGTTATAGAAAAATTTATGAAGCAACAATCATTGTAAAGCTCTGAGGTTTTCCAGTTTACTTGAAATAAATAAAAAAAAATTAATATAGAGAAAAGATTCTGTAAATGTGAACCTTGTAAGAAGGGATCTTACCATGATAGGTATCTTCAAAGATACTTCAAACAACCCTTCAAGAAGGCGAACACATGAGTGCAAACACTGTGATAAAACTTTAATATGTGATTCCTCTTTATATTTGAAACAAACTGCAAAATCAATTATTACAGATGTAAAGATTCAATAGTGTATTGAATGTGCTAAAGCTCTTACATGTGCTGATTCTCCTAGCAGATATGAAAGAAGCCATATTGGAGAGGAACCTTCTGTATATACTCAATATAGTAAAGTCTTTGCATATGACAGTCACCTTCAAAGGAACAGAAGAACACATACTGGAGAGAAACCCTATGAATGTAATCAGTGTGGTAAAGCCTTTGCATCTCACAGAAATCTGCGAATACATACAAAAACACATACTGGAGAGAAACCCTATGAATGTAATGAATGTTGTAAAGCCTTTGCACAAAAGCGTCTTCTTCAAAGACATGAAAGAACACATACTGGAGAGAAACCCTATGAATGTAATCAATGTGGTAAAGCCTTTGGACAAAAAGAGTATCTTAAAATGCATAAAAGGACGCATACTGGAGAGAAACCCTATGAATGTAATCAGTGTGGTAAAGCCTTTACACAACAGGGTTCTCTTCAAATGCATAGAAGAACACATACTGGAGAGAAACCCTACGAATGTAATCTGTGTGGTAAAGCCTTTAGACAACAGGGTTCTCTTCAAAAGCATAAAAGAACACATACTGGAGAGAAACCCTATGAATGTAATCAGTGTGGTAAAGCCTTTGGACAAAAGTATCTTCTTCAAAAACATAAAAGAACACATACTGAAGAGAAACACTATGAATGTAATCAGTGTGGTAAAGCCTTTGGGCAAAAGAGTCATCTTCAAAAACATAAGAGAAAACATACTGGAGAGAAACCTTATGAATGTAATCAATGTGGTAAAGCATTCTCTACACAGAAAATTCTCCAATTACATAGAAGAACCCATACTGGAGAGAAACCCTATGAATGTAATGTGTGTGGTAAAGCCTTTACACAAAAGAGTTATCTTCAAATTCATAAAAGAACACATACTGGAGAGAAACCCTATGAATGTAATCTGTGTGGTAAAGCCTTTACACAACAGGGTTCTCTTCAAATGCATAAAAGAACACATACTGGAGAGAAACCCTATGAATGTAATCAGTGTGGTAAAGCCTTTGGGCAAAAGAGTCATCTTCAAAAACATAAAAGTACACATACTGAGGAGAAACCCTATGAATGTAATCTGTGTGGTAAAGCCTTTACACAACAGGGTTCTCTTCAAAGACATAAAAGAACACATACTGGAGAGAAACCCTATGAATGTAATCAGTGTGGTAAAGCCTTTGGACAAAAAGTGTATCTTAAAATGCATAAAAGAACACATACTGGAGAGAAACCTTATGAATGTAATCAATGTGGTAAAGCATTCTCTACACAGAAAAGTCTCCAATTACACAGAAGATCCCATACTGGAGAGAAACCCTATGAATGTAATCAGTGTGGTAAAGCCTTTGCATTGCCCAATAATTTCCAATTGCATAAAAGGTCACACACTGGGGGCTGGAGAGATGGCTCAGTGGTTAAGAGCACTGGCTGTTCTTCCATAGGTCATGAGTTCAATTCCCAGCAACCACATGGTGGCTCACAACCATCCATAATGAGATCTGTTGTCCTCTTCTGACCTGCAGGTGTATATGCAGACAGAATACTGTATACATAATAAATAAATAAATCTTTAAAAAAAAAGTTCAAGGCCAAGGTCAACAAGATGCTCAGTATAAAAGTGTTCACCATGCAAACCCAATGGCCTAAATTCAATCCCTGGGTCTCATGGTGGAAGGAGAGAACCAGTTGCCATCATAACATACCGTGCACATACACAAACACACACACATGCAAACACCATTACTACTTAAAAAAAAAAGTCACACACTGGAGAGAAACCTTATGAATGTAATCAATGTGGTAAAGCCTTTGCATTGCATAGTAGTCTCCAGCCACATAGAAGAAAACATTCTGGTGAGAAACCCTATAACTGTAATCAATGTAGTAAAGCATTCTCTGCAGAGAAAGTTCTCAAATTACACAGGAGAACCCATAGTGGAGAGAAATCCTATGAATGTAATCAATGTGGTAAAACCTTTATACAACAGTGTAATCCTCAGACACATAAAACATACTGGAGAGAAACCCTATGAATGTAGTCAATGTGGTAAAGCCTTCTCTAGACACAATAATCTCCAAGCACATAGATGAACACATACTGGGGAGAAACCATATGAATGTAATCATATGTGGTAAAGCCTTTGTATAACAGGGTGGTCTTTAAATTTATAAAAGAACCCATTCTGGAGAGAAACCCTATGAATGTAATCAGTGTGGCAAAGCCTTCTCTAAACAGAGTAAGCTCCAAAAACATAGAAGAACACATACTGGAAAGAAACCCTATGAATGTAATCAATGTGGTAAAGCCTTCACTACACAGAGTAGTCTCCAAGCACATAAAAGAACACATACTGGAGAGAAACCCTATAAATGTAATCAATGTGGTAAAATCTTTGTCTATGCTAGTAGTCTTCGAAACCATTTGAAAAAATCATACTGCAAAAACCTTATAAATGTCGTCAGTGTTGTAAAATTTGCATTTTATACAGAAATAAACTTTTTGTGTGCAATCAATCTATTAAAGCCTTTGTATAGTACAATAGTATTTGGGGACCTGAAAAAATACTAATGGTTTTTTGTTTTTTTGTTTGTTTGGTTGGTTGGTTGGTTTTTCAAGACAGTTTCTCTGTGTAGTTTTGGTGCCTGTACTGGATCTCACTCTGTAGACCAGGCTGGCCTGCAAACACAGAGATCTGCCTGGCTCTGCCTCCCAAGGGATTAAAGGGATTAAAAACTAGTGCCACCCTTGCCCAGTGATGGCTTCTTAATATAAAGTATCTGTTTAGATGTTTAGTCAACACACTTACAGCAGTATTCTGTAGAAAAAAAATTGACAATGTCAACAATCTCTTCAAGCTTTATGATGTCAACTTTAATATTGTCTACACCTGCAAACTCATGGGAAAAATGAATTTGTGAATTTATGAAGCCCTATGTGTAGGGTAAAAGGGCCAGCCAAAGACACAGACTCTGATGCTGAAGCCAGAGCCAAAGAAAAACACTTGAGTAGCATGAGAGCAACCAATCCTTGAGCAGGAAAGTCAACTGATCTCTAACATGAAATCCAGCCAATCTCTAAGATTGTCCAAGCTCAGAGTTGTAATAAGACCAATTCCCACCCTGAAAATCATTTCACTGGAAAAACTCCACCCCTAAGAAGCCCCATAGCCATGTGCATGTTCAGTTGGTAGCTGCCCTTTCCCAGCACTCTCCTGGATTCTCCCCTCCCCAATGAATATCTTGAATGAGTTTTGGGTGAAGACCTTCTTTTGCCATCATGGAGCAAAGTCTCTACTGGGAAACTCCCTAGTGGAGCCTGGCAGAGAATCAGTAGTACCCTCTGCAGGGAAACTCCCAAAGGGGTGCAGAGCAAAAGTAATGTTTTGGGAGTGCACCATTTCTGCAAGGGGGGTCCCCTTAGCTGTGTGAAGCAGAGAAGTAACAATTTGGGCCAGAGCTGAGAAGAAACCATCATCTCTGCTGGGAAACTCCCTAATGGAACCGAGCAGAGAAGCAATGCACACCTCTGCTGGCAAAGTATTAGAAGAATATTGCAAAGTGGGAACAGAGTGGAGGGGAGCAGAGCTGTAATGGCTCTCTCTCAGAGACAGGAGGATTGCCACAACCTGTGTGGAGACCATCCCACATGGCAACACAGCTTCAGGTATAGCCTGACTCACCCCCCCCCCACTCAAGATTTCTTTCTCCTCACACCTGTAGGTGTCCAGGAGACCTTCCTTTCACAGCTGTAGAAATAGCCTGATTTCTGACAGCCAGGGTAACTTTCCCTCCAGAACTGTCTCACTTACAGTATGAACTTAAACGATATTGTAACCTTTTTGGATTCATGGTTCTCT